TTGACCAGATTTTACTCTATTTTGCAGGCAACAAAAATAACACCCGCTAGCAGCTAAGTTACTTAATGTGCCACAAGTTAGTGAAAGAATTCAGGCTTAGCATGTATATGCCTAATATATTTAGAGCTATTCCTGATTCAATTATGCATATATCAGAATCTAATAGGACACGTGATCAAATCTTATATAAGGGCCACCTGAAACATGAGTTATATATGTATTATACTCAATCTCATGAAATTTTAAATGAATCACATATTATCTATGTAATGCTTCACAAACCAAATGCTTGGGGAAAACCCACTCCCCCAGCTTGTCACATTTGTTGTATTGTGTTTCAGTCTGAAGTTTTACCAGTAATGGAGACTCAATTTAGAAACGTGTTGTACTACGTAATCTCTCTACCAATGAGCTATACTCCAACTCTCTTTTTAAAACTGTATTTTCTGAGAAAGGATCTACTAAGTTGCCCAGGGTAATTTAAACTTACTCTGTAGTGAAGGTCAGAGTTAAAGTTGTGATACTGCTACCTCAGTCTCTTGAGTAGACTAGAAGGTTATGGACCTTTGACACCATACTTCGCTCCATTGTGCTTTTTTTCCACTTGAAAATTGTTGATCAAAAGGAGCTAGGAGTTTCAATGCAGTTTCTATTTTCAGAATGCCCAGCGATTTGATGTTATCTGTGTTGTGGTAGGAGTAGGTTACATACTCATGTCTTTATTAGTGTATTTGTGGAAACATCTTCAACAATTAGGAAAGTGAAATATTGCTGGTTTGAGATTATGTTGAGAAAACTGGTGCAGAATGGCTGATGGTCTTTGATAGTGTAATAAAACTTACACCTTCCATTAACATGCTTCCCTTGGAATAAATAATGATAGCTACCCAGTTGGAGAAAGACCGAGTCCTACTCTAAGAAAGGCAAATGCTGTGTCCATGACTGTCCTTCCAAAGATGTAGATGACACAGTTATAATTCAAAGAGGGCTTTTGAGGAGCATTTTCAGTGGCAGTGACGAAAGACCCATGCTGATTAATCTACCCTTAGGTTCAAAAGGAATTCATCCTTGATGGCAAAGCTTTCAAACTTTGTTCCTGCTTAAATGGTGCTCTTTGGTAATTATGCCAAGCAAATTATAGCCATAAGTATGATTCTTGTGAGTCCATCCTGCCGTACTATGAGTATCAGAAAAGAAATGAGGCTTCCATTACTACGACTGTCCCTGGCCAACACTATCCTCTAGGATGTATGTTCTTTAACCAACAGGGATTCAGAAGTTTATTCTCAAAAAGTAAACATAGTGAGCTCCCTTTCTTCACCTGACATGAAGCTCAACTTAGATTATCAACTTATTAAAAAAACCTAGAGCCTCCTGTTTCTCTGTAGGATGGTAGGTGAAAAGCTCTCCCCTTTGGAAGAGCATCCAAAGGATACACCCTGACAGAAACACTGTTAGACTCCATGGTTGAATAAATATGACCACAAACAAAATTTCTAGTCAGGAGCAGAAACAAACAAATCACCTTTTCCTTTTAATGAGTCATATACATATATAATAGAAATGTGTATATATGTATTTTTATCTGTCTATATAGCTATAACATCCATAATATGTTGATGCCCATAGAAGTTTCACCATGAGTTTCTTCATTCTAGAAGACTGCTTGTCCTTTTGGGCCACACACCTGGAAAATAAATGAGGAAGAAGTGTGAAACCCCATATCATCTATCCTTCACAATAATTTTGAGGGAGGTACCATATTTGCTAATTTCATCTATAGAAACTCCAAGTCAGAGTATAGGACACATAGAATCCAAGAAGAATAAATACTTTTCCAGTGGGATCATGCTAATAAAGATGTCACAGAAACAAGGGTTTTGTATGTTTGTTTGTTTATTTCAAATGTACAAAGGCTATTTTCTAAACACTGGCCATTATCCATCTTTATCTCCTGCCATAAATGTATAGTTATAATGTAATCTGCTGCATCTCAGTTGACCAGATTACTGAAAAATGGTGATGATAGTGATTATAGATGGTAGATTAAATAAGTACACTGATGGCAGATAGATAAGTAAATGGTAGGTATGTAGGTATAGATAGGTAGATAGTAGATGAATGAGCAGAGTAGATATATAGACAGACAGATAGATGCTTACATGTGACACCAGTGAAAAGATAGGAGATCGAAACAGAGCTATGACTGTCTACTGGATTTAGAAAACCTGAGATAAGGTGGCTCTCACATATCCTTAAGTCGCATGATGACATGAGTATAACTGAAGATAACTGATAAGAAAATGCAAAGCTTATGGTATCTTTGCTGTTCTCCAATTAACTCCTGAAAGAGACAGACTTATTCTAAATGAATCTGACATTACTGACTGCTCAGAAGATAATTTATACAGATAATCTCATCTTCTTTTTAAAGATTTCAGTATCCTTTATAAATTACACAATGGAAATGTCAGGCTAAGACAACATATCATTCTTTCAGAGTCCTGGAACTGCTATCACAATCCAAATTCTATCTAGATCTAAAATTCTTTACCTTGACACTTATTTTCTCTCAGTTATAACAACAAAAGCATGTAGAAGACAGGAAAATATAATGAATCATATCTGTGTCTGATATGTGGTAAATTTCAGAATTACTAAAGCCAGATGGACATGATAAACGATTACAGTCTTGGCATCAGAATACCTGGGATCTTGGTCCCTTCTTCATTTCTCAATCCTGTAGCCCTGGCAACTGATCCCTAAATCCCTCTAGCTTATCCATCCCATGATTCTAGGCTATAATGTTGCAGTAAAAATATGAAGTGGGGATTGTTATGATTTAGTTACCATGGTCCATATAAGAAGCCATGTTGGGGATTGGCACTTTAAAAACTCATGTCAGTAATGAAAATGATCTGTGGGGAAACCCTAGAGACACAAGTACAAAGAGAAATAGGCATATTCAAATGATAAATCTCAGGAAGACTAGAAAAGTTCCTGCAGATTTAACCAACATTGCTTCCAAAATGGAGGAAATCACATCTGAGCTGAATGTGTACACACCTTTCTTGATACTTCTCATTTGCTTTATATTAAATGTTATGAGTAATCAGGAGATTATATCCAGATAGGGGAGGATGTGCACAGGATTTCTGTAAGGGATTTGAACATCTGAAGATTTGGGTATCTGAAGGGAGTCCTGGGACCTGTACCCCTAAGGTACAATGAGTGAACAGACTGTTTTGATTCACACCCTGTTGGGCACTTGAACTTCAATCCCTCTTGTTCTATAAGTGATTTCATATTGTATATTTTTGTAACCAATTTTTAGTGAAATTCTTATGCATATTCTTCACCTGTAGTTACTTTTAAATATAAAGAGCACAGGTATATCACTAGCTTTGTACTTCACATGACCTCCTCTGCTCCTGTCTCCTAGTGGAAGACTTTTGGCTGTAATAGACAAGAAATTATTGAGGAATATTTTTTATTTCACTCTTTTGTAGACTAGACACATCAAGTAGTATATTGTAAAGACTCATGTATTTAAAAACTTCCTATCCAGAATGGAATTTGACACCTACCACAGTGTAGATATAAGCCTTAAGGATATTATAGTAATTGAAATAAACAAGTCAATGGACAGATAATGTACAGTCAAACTTAAATAATTAGGAGAAAGATATTCACAGAGACAGAAAGGAGACTGGAAGTTTCCAAAGGCCAGGGGCCATGGAGAATGGAGTCAGGGTAGGAGCGGTTTGTGAATCAGAATAGGGACTCACAAACAGCTTTGTGAGAGGAAAGGACTTCTGCAGATGGAGGCGAGTGTACAATATTAATGTACCAATGTTGAGCTGTTCACAGAAAATAGGTAATTTACTACACTTGATGTTATTTATCCTAGCACACTAAATACAATCTAGGAAAACTACCTAAGACATGTTATAATTTTCCTCACTCTCCTTGGTTTTAAAGTATTTGGATTCTATATGTGTGTTGTTGGAAGGCTTCATTTTATGTCTCATACTTGTGAAACTCCAATACACCAAATACGTGTTTTCTTCTCTAGAAGAATCCTATCAATAATATTAGGTTTACTGTGAGTTCAAAGTGGTAGGAAAATCATGTTTTCTTGTTTCAGGAGTCCCAGTCCTTGAAGACCACAGACCATGAAGCTGATTGTAGCCTTTAAACTCATGGCAACAAAATGTCATGAATATTCATGATTTTCTCCCAATGGGACCCAGAAATAAAATAACTCGGGGAGCCTTCTGTGGGAATTCAAAGACAATTGCAATGACATTGTGCATTTATTTATTTATTTATTTGGTCCCTCAAAATGCAAAAGTTGTCCATGAAGTCTTTAGGACACACCCCAGCTCAGATGCCTTTCCACTGCAAGAACCACTTGCATCTTCTCCCAGTTGGGGTCCTCCAATAGTTCAGTCCAATGCCTGTGCTTCTTCTAGTACCTATTGCCTTCTATTTCCCAAGCAGTTACCAATGGTGATAAAATGAAAATCAGATTCCTTTCCTTTCTATCCAAAATTCTCCAACAGGTCTATATTTCCTCAGGTGGGGGGGTACAAAATATTAGATGCTCCTTGTGTTCAGTACGAACTCACTGAGTGAATAAAGTATATAAGAGTACATAAATAAAAGACACTTTACTCTCTGGTAGTTAATGTTCTGGAGTACATTACTAACATAGCAGTAAATAAATGCAAAAGTATTCTTTTCCTCTGCTCAAACTATGAATAAAAACAGTTGGCATAAACCTCCCACCTTTATATTGCAATTCAGTGTGATGGCTGAGACTTACAGAACTGTGATCTCCAAACTGAGCTGTGAGACTGTGGGTGCTCTAATAGTGACCAAGTTCCTCATTCTATGAACATGCTTGAATATGCTGACTTGTACCAAAGGAAAATGACTTAGGAGTTGGAATTTCAAGATGTCACTCATCTCTATCCTCTTTCTGTGTTTCCTCTCAGGTATTTGCACACAATATACTTAGGTATTCGAAGTCGGCAGAGCGGGGAGAGTGGCAGGTGGCGGTTTTACTGGAGGATGGTGTACGAGTATGCGGATGTGAGCATGCTGCACCTGCTAGCCACCTTTCTGGAAAGTGCTCCACAGTTGGTCCTGCAGCTCTGCATTATTGTACAGACCCACAGCTTACAGGCCCTCCAAGGTAAGTATTAGCAATTTGCTTTCTGAATTGAGGGAGAGACTGGCTACTTTTGTCACAATCCAAGGATGCCTGGAGTCCTTCATTGACACAGGACTCTTGTATGTCTGCTGTTTTGCACATGATTTGTGAATTATGCATGATATTTCCTCCACCATTGCCTGTCATGGTTAACTAATAGAAAGACTATCCCCTTTGTCCTTCAGCTGTCTTTTTAGCAAAAAATATGATTTATGTTTTTGTGCTTGTTCCCTATAGGCAGAGTCAAACCCTTGTTTTCATAGTAGAATACTTTGCAAAAGTTACAAAGACAACAATAACTATTTTTTCTCTCTAATACATATATGGATAATCTATACCATTGTCTTTGACATTAGGAAATAGAAAAGGAAAGATGAAAAAGAAACGTTACCTTGATGATTCTTTTTAAAAATCATATGGAAAATGTTCCAAATATTTAACAATATATTGTTTTGCACTATAGGCTTTATGGCAAGTAGACAATTATCTGGTTAATATTTTGTTTTGTCATATCATCAGCAAGACTGTTGCATTCATAATAAGCTGTCCTGATATTTCTTTGGGGATTGATGCTCAGATCCATCCTAGAATAAGGCACGAAGAAGGGTGGGTTTACTATAGATATAAGTGAATAAATTGGTCTAAATATGGTAGGTAAAGGACACTTCTGATTAACATGTTTCCTGGTGTGTTTCTCAATCTTGTAAGCAAGCTGATAATGTCTGTGAACAGCACAGCGCAGCGTGCAAGCTGTTTCCTCCTCAGCAGAGCTGTCTGAGTCACACACATCATTGCCCTGCTCTGTCATGCTCTAGCTAGAGACTTGATCTGAATGATGTTGGAATTTACAGTGCCTTTCTAGCTTTTAGAGAAAGAGCACATTAAATTTTTCAGGGTGTTTTCAATTAGAGATAGATGCCAGGATGGATATAACAGAAAAGAAATACAGAAGGTGCTGTGGAGATGAAACTACCAACTGTATCTTATCTGTCTGTTCTGAACCAAATGTGAGTAGTTATAACTTGGGGACAGAAACTTGGTTATGAATGGCATATTACACCATGGGGAAGTTCACTATTTTATTGTTATTTATTTGTAATTTTTAATCAACTTTTATTATTAGTTAATTTTATTTATTTTAATCCTGAGCGCAGTTTCTTCTCCCTCCTCTCCTCCCAGCCCCTACCACTACCTCCATTCTGTTCCCCCCATCCACTCATTCTCTGTTTCTGTTCAGAAAGGAATAGGTCTCCCATGGATGACAACAAAACATGGCATATCAAGCTGTGGTAGGACTCAATACCCCATTGTATTGAGGCTAGGCGAGAGGAACCAGTATGAGGAGTAAGTTCCCAAAACCCAACCAAAGCACTATGGTCAGCTCCGGCTCCCATTGTTAGAAGTCCCAAGCTACACAACTGCCATGTATGTAGAGGGCCTAACTCAGTCTCATGCAGGCTCCCTGATTGTCAGTTTAGTCTCTATGGGCAGCTATGAACCCAGGTTAGTTAATTCTGTGGGTTTTCTTGTGATATACTTGACCCCTCAGGCTTTTAATGGATATTTTAAAGACAGAAACAAATGTAGCACAGACTGCCCTCAAATTTGCTGTGTAGCAGAGGCTTTGACTTGAGTTCTTTAACTTCCTGCCTTCCTAGCCCAAGTGGGCAATTACAGATATCTGACATCTGCCCACCTTCATAGAAAGTTTTATATTCAGAGAAAAGAAAATACATGATCTAGTGTATTTATAAAACCCACACTAGGGTCACTGGACTAGTGAGCTATAGACAGGCAGGGGGTTTGAGTTGTGTCCCTGTCATATTCTCAGCTGCCAGGTTGGTAGAAGATCAGTGTGGTGAGCTTAGGAAACATTCTGAAAGGTAAGAGGTGCCATGCCTGCTGCAGCAGCAGGTAACAAGACACCAAGAACAGCCCAAAAATAATTTACCCTTTTCTACAGTCACAATGTTTCCCTCGGTCAAGTTGAGCTCTTTGTAGATCTGTAAAAAATATGGCTGCTTCAGAGAAGTTCATTGAGCTCCCAGAGTCATAATAGCAAATGTTCCATGTGATGCCACACTATGTATGGAGCATTATATTCAGAAGCTTCAAAAAAAAAAGCACACAAAAACATGGATTCCATTTTCTGCTGGCCAGCTGCTCTTGGGCTGGGGTTCCTACACCAGTATTACTTCACCAGAGAAGATTGGCTTTCCCTTCTCAGCAGGTATCAATTGAAACTAGCTTCTTGGTAAGGAGTGGGACTTTGTATCCACTTTTTCTTCTCCATGGATGGAATTTTGCTGGTCTAAATGTGTATAGGTCTTGTTTGTGCTAGAGGGTGTTTGTTTGTTTGATTTGTATTCTTCTTGTTAATTTTTTTGAGAGAGAGAGAGAGCATGAACTTAGGTTGGTAGGAGAGTAATGTGGATCTGGGTGAAGTGAGGGAGGGGAAGGAATATGATAAAAATATAGTGTATGAAAATAATTTTAATTAAGTAAAAGAAAGGAACAAACGTTCATGAGGTGTGGTTCTCAAGTGCTAGAAAACAAGTTGTAAGAAAGAGAAACTGGGCATTCACACAGAAACAGCAGAGAAAAGCACCACGGAGAAAGGGAGACTATATAAACTGTGAGTGGCTGCTCAGTGGAACCTGATGGGTGTAGACAGTGAGCTGGCATTCAGCTCTCTCCACAGTAAGACACTACACAGGGTATCTGGTGTCTTAGACAACCTTGAGCTGGGTGTTGTTACTTAATCCCAGTACTTTGGGGATAAAGGCAGGGGATTAGGAATTCAAGGCCAGCTTCAAAGTGAGTTTGAGCCACACTAGGCTGCATGAATCCTCATCTCTATAAAACATAAGACAAACATAAACAAACATACCTAGACAATCTCCAACTATCTGGCAGTTCTGGCATCTCTTCTAGTGAGTGAATGCCTAGTGGGTAGCTAATGTCAGGTAAATGCTCAGTGTTCTGTGAATAAAAAAGCTAAAACTAAAATACCCTCCAAAAACACAGGGTGCACCTTCAGAACAACTTAGTAACTCTGGTATAGCTAAACAGTTTTCTTGTTGCTGCCTCCTAAGTGCTGAGATTCAAATGTGAACAAAACAATAATTAGCAACACTAGGATGAGGGTCAAAGATTAAAGGGTTACCTATTGTGGCCCCAACAAGGAGGAAAGGCCAAGTTCTCAGTTAGAGAACTTTATACACAATCACGCACACCCATATGCACACACATACACACATGCACACACACATGCATGCACACACATACACACACATACAAGCACACACAGACACATACATACCACACATGCACACACACCACACACACATACACACACATGTATGCACACACACATGCACACATACACCACACATGCACTTACACACACACACAAACACACACTCTGACACACATACTCACACACACCACAAACATGAAGGCAATCCTTCATGTAAGTGATTGCTTTGGTTTTTGGTGTTCTTGAGGCAGGGTCTCATTCTATAGCCCCAAAGGAACCCTTTATTCTCCAAAGTATTCAAGTTACAAGTTTATACTACCATGCCTGGTCCAGTACTCAGTCTTCTCAGATTATTTGTCCTAAATAAGGTCACCAGAGTTTGAGTCTCTTTGAAATGAGTTTCTTCATTGACACAGTTTCTTTTTCCTTTATCTACTAAGCCTTCGTTTCTGCCAGCCATACTCTGGGCTTATGTATTGGACCTCAGTGTTGGCCAAAGAAAGCTTACTATCAAGTTTCAGAGAAGCAGGGACTGTGTCATTCCCTAAGTGATCAATGGGCACAGTGACCATAACCACCAGTAGAGTCAGGGAAGCCCCTGAATATAGATGGTGACTAAGCCCATAAGGTTGATTTTATCATTGCCGATTTTTAACAATGAAGGGACTAGGATATTGTTACAAGACAATAGAATGAAAACACACCAAGCAAGAGGGTCTTCCACAAACCCTCCACAGCTGAATACCAATGAGTCTGCTCACTGACTCCCTGCTGTGAAAGGACATCTATTAGAGGAGATACTTCTACAGGATGACCTCTTACAATGAACCACCTGATGAATGAAATTGATATACACTATAAGAACTGAGCCTTCTCCTTCTGGAGAAAAAAAAGCAAATTCAATAAAAGAGCTTAGTTTGACATGCATTTCATGCATCTGTAGTGATGAAATTCATGGGATTTGAATGGAAAAGCACAGTCCTCCAAACATATACCAACAGACAGGAAACCTGTGAGGTATTTCCAAAGAGCTTTCAATTAAAATCTCAAATCATACTTGCTTAGCAGCCTGAGTATCATCCCAAGTCTGGGAGCCATTTCACGTGACTATGACTAAAACTACTGTTACACCATAAAAGGAAAATTGCTTTTCTTCCCCAATTATAGCCACCCCTCCTCTGATGGACACTCTTGGAAACAAAAAGAAAATCAAACAAAAAATATGACATTTTAAAAACAGAGGTTAAAAATTGAGTTCTCCTTGTAAAAAGTGGGTTATGCCTAAACTCTGTTAACTGTGAAAATCCTTTTTCTCTCCTCATTTATTGAGTTATTAAGTCAGTGCTGCCTCATTGTACTGGAGGCTGACAGGCTTAGGGGAGAGCTGGCAAATAGAATCATCCTTCAGTTCCTCCTGGTCTTGGAAGACAGCCTGAGTACGGATCTGAGAACATGAATCAGGACAGAGATAATTCTCAAGCCTGAGAAACCAATGGTTTTCGTCCATTTATTCAATTGAGTTCTGTAACATGAGCTAGCCAGCTGCTCCTCTCTAGAGAATGAGCACTCCTGGGTCCAGTCCTACTGTGTGTAAGGAGCACTTAAGGAGTCTCTGCTTTGAAATACAAGGCTATCACGATGTGTAATGTGTAGTCTTCCCGCCTGCCTCCTGAGTCCTGAGCTGTCTCAGCCCCCAAATAACACACGAAACACTATATTAATT